GGGGCCCCTGGGGGCCCCCCAGAAAAGGGTACTAAATGGGGGGCCCCCCCAGCAGCAGCGGCTGCGAGTTGGGCACGGAGGGACTTTAGACCCTGCGGCCTCTGGTGAGCTTTTGCTGCTGCTGCTGCTGCGTTGAAGCAGCAGGCGAGCACGAGTTGCTGCTGCTGGATTTCGGCCTTAGGGCCTAGGGTTTAGGGTTTAGGGTTTAGAGTTTGGGGTTTAGGGTTTAGGGTTTAGGGTTTAGAGATAATGCACGTGCGGGCTTTGAGCTTCTCAGGAGTTTTGGTTTTGGGCATCGGGCGGGGGACGGCGCTGCTGAAGGATTTCCTTGACGGTGCGCAGCAGCAAGAGCAGCAGCAGCAGCAGCTGCTGCTGCTGCTGCTGCAGATCTTCATCTAGGCAGGGCTTGCTGCAGTGCGGGTACAGCGAGGGTTTGTTTGGTTGCGGCGCCGCTCTTTGTCGCTCGCTTGCATCTAGGCTTTAGGGTTTAGGGTTTAGGGTTTAGTGTTTAGGGCTTAGGGTTTAGGGTTTAGGGTCTGGGCAAAGGCTGTTTAATGCCCCGGCAGGAGAAGCTGGGGTTGTCTATTCGTCTGCCAGTAGTTCTTGGGACCCCATTTCTTTTGCTGCTGCTGCTGCTGCTTTTGCTGCTTCTGCTGCTGCTTTTGCTGCTTTTGCTGCTGCTGCTTCCGCTGAGCTTTCTGCTGCCGCTGTTATTGGTCCTGTCCCTGCTGCTGCTGATCTTGCTGCTGCTGCTGCTGGTGGCGTTCCTGTTCCTGCTGCTGCTGCTGATCCCTCTGCTGTTGCTGCTGCTGCTGCTGCTGCTGCTGCTAGCAGGGCCCAAGTGCTACGAAGCGCGGGCGCGCCTGGGGGTGGAGACGGACACACTTGACGCTGAAGTAGGTTTTTCTTCTTTTGCAAAAAGGTTTAATTTAATTTAATTTAATTTAATTTAGTTTAGTTTAATTATTTAATTCTTTAATTTAGTTAGTTTAATGATTTATTTTATTAAATATTGCAAAAAGTTGAATTTAATTTTCTAATTTAATTAAGCCAAAGTGATTTGCTGCTCGCTGGATCCAAAACAAACCCTCAGCAGCAGCAAAACACCTAGCAGCAGCTAAATCCCTAGCAGCAGAGACTGCTGCTGCTGCTGTTGCTGCTGCTGCGCTGCAGCTGCTGCTGCTGCTGCGCTGCGGACTTTGCTGTTGCAGGGGCGGGTGGTGCGGCAGGCCCCGTGGGAGGGGGTGACCAGTGGTCAGCTGGCAGCAGCAGTGGCTTCTTTTGAGGGCCGTTCTTACCTGCAGCAAACTCCTCTCTTCTCGGGTTGGTGCCAGATCTGCAGATCTGCTGCGATTGCTTCGCGCTGCTGCTGCTGCTGCTGCTGCAGGTGCTGCTGCAGCTGTTGCTGCGGTGCTGCTTCTGCTGCTGCTGGTGCCGTTCTTGCGGTGGTGCTGCTGCTGCTGCAGTTGCTGTTGCTGCTGCTGCAGTTGCTGCTGCGGTACTGCTCCTGCTGCTGCTCCAGTTGCTGCTGCTGCTGCTGCTGCTGCTGGTTCAGCAAAGCGGGTGCGGGGCCGGCAGCTGTACGAGTTGGCCCGCGAGGGCGCCGCCGTTGGCCCCGAAGAAATGCCAAGGCCTTCTCTGGTGTCAGTGAACAGCATAAGGCTCCGCAGTCCTGCTGCAGTGGAGGTGAGCTGCAGCAGCAGCAGCAGCAGCAGCAGCGGGAGCAG